AGATCTCAATTACTTCCTTGGTATAGAAGCTCACCGCACCAAAGATGGTCTCCATTTATCTCAGAGGAAGTACATTCTAGACCTCTTACATCGCTATGACATGACCAACGCAAAACCAGTGACAACACCTATGGCCTCCTCTCCAAAGTGACACTCACACAAGGTACTTCTCTCTCCGATCCAACGCAATATCGACAACTAGTTGGCAGTTTGCAGTACCTTGCTTTCACCAGATTGGACATAGCCTATGCGGTCAATCGTTTATCACAATTTATGCACCGCCCAACAGAGGATCACTGGAATGCTGCTAAGAGAATACTGCGATACTTGGCTGGGACACCAACGCATGGAATCTTTTTCTCCGCCAAGAACAAACTCACATTGCACGCATACTCCGATGCGGACTGGGCTGGGGACTCCGAGGACTGCGTCTCCACAAACTCCTATATCGTGTACCTTGGCCGAAACCCCATCTCTTGGACAGCTAAGAAGAAAAAAGGTGTGGCAAGATCGTCCACCGAAGCAGAGTATAGGGCCGTCGCTAACACAGCTTCTAAACTTAGTTGGATATGCAATATTCTGACAGAACTTGGCATCAATCTTCCCATACCACCAGTCATCTACTGCGACAATGTAGGCGCCACATTCCTCTGCGCTAATCCCGTGTTTCACTCTCGAATGAAACACATCGCAATAGACTATCACTTTGTTCGTGGTCAAGTTCAAACCGGGGCTCTTCGCGTTGCTCATGTTAACACAAAAGATCAACTAGCCGACGCTCTGACAAAACCATTATCACGTGCGCGTTTCATCGACTTGAGAAACAAGATTGGAGTGTCACAAGCCCCTCCATCTTGAGGGGGCGTGTTAGTGATATGGTCATGATTCTCATTCAAGTCTCAATATTGTGATTGCTCTGTTTTAGGAAGGTTATGTAATTACCTAAACCTAGAGTCTCTCCTCCTCCTCATGTATAGATACTACATTGTAAAGTCTTTTGCAAGATATATAGAAATCACATTCTCTACACCCTTTTCTATTTTTCTTACGAAATTGTGGATTAGTTACTTTCAATCTAGCCCAAAGCATAGATAATTGGTTCTGAAACAACGTCGCTTGTTGTGTACCTAACACAACCAAACAAACCTAAACTACATTGTTCTGTTTAGCAACACTCCATATCAAATGTCTAACTCAGTATCGTCTGACGCTAGGCTAATACTGAGTAGGTCAAAGTAGAAAAAAGCTAAAGGACTTACAGAGTCCAGTTCATGTAGGTAAGTTATATTTTATGTCTGTTCAAGTCTAAAAATGCATGGTATCATTATTTGGGTATGAAAGGACGTTGTGGAAAATGTTTGGGTTGATTTGGGCAATTTCCAAATAAGTACACCTCAAAGTTTGAAACTAAATAAGAGAAAAGAATCAGTAATAAGAGGAAATGTTTTAGTTTACATTTGTAGAAATGTTCAAATATTATAAATTTATTTAAAGTTTATAGAAAGAATAAAATATTAATTTTTAATACCTAATTACTTTTATAAAGGTTAAATATATAAATAATATTGAAAGTTAATAAAAAATCAATTAAGATATTATAATATTTTTAAACTCTATAACATTTTGAAAATATTATTAATATTTAAGGTTTATAAAAGTTTTAAATATTAATTTTATTTTAAGTTTAGATATTATTAATCCTACTAATATTAATCTAGAAGTACATTTAAAAATATAACCTAAAATCTGTTAGTATTTAGATTACAGTAGTATGAACTATCACATACATGTGTCACAGTATATTGATAATATACTGGTCTTACACTAGTATGAAGTATAATGGTGTCAAATTTGAACTTTATCATCATATAAAATATAAATACTCTGTTTGTAAACAAAATACACATAAAACTTATAATTTACAATAAATACTTATCTACTACCTATATATAATTTTCAGTCATTCATTTGTATTTAATAAATATTTATTACTTAAATATTATCTAATAGTTTTATAAACCCATATGATAATAATAATACAAGATATCAAAACATTAAAACTATGCAACATCAACTAAAAATAAACCCGATGAACACATTGAAATCTCCGGAAAAAAAAAAAGAGACACACAAAGCCGAGAAAATTGTATCACACAAACAAAACTATATATAAGGGAACAAAAACAAGACACACACAAACCAAATATTATCTAATAACATCATATAAATAAATTTTTAAGAAATCAAATTCTAAAAATAAATAAAGGCTCCGCCTATGCACTTCAAGTTTTCAGAAAAAATATATAACAACATTTTTCATCTTGCGGATACCGCAGATAATTTTTGTTTTTAATAAAACTATATACCCACTAAGTTTCTCCATAAATAGAACTCAGTCTAGGCGTGTGTTCTCCACACCTCACAGATATTCTCTACTTTCATTTTCAGTCTTTTTCTCATTTAACAAAACAAACAAAAACCAAAAGGTTTAACCATGGAATCTCACAACAACTTGAACATAGACATGGAGAAAGAGCAAGAAAGGCTTTTGACTACTCCAAACGAGCTCAATGGTTACTAGCCGCAGTGTTTGGTGCCAAAGACGGTCTTGTCTCGTTGGCTTCACTTATGATGGGTGTTGGTGCCATGAAGCAAGACATCAAAATCATGCTCTTAACGAGTTTTGCTGGTTTAGTGGCCGGAGCTTGTAGTATGGCGATTGGAGAGTTTATCTTCATTTACTCTCAGTACGAACTAGAGGTGGCACATTTGAAGAGAGGCTTAGCAGAGGAGAGACAAAGAAAGAGAAGTTTCTTGATAAATTGACGAGAGTAAAAACACAAAGTGTTTATGAAGAATTAATATTAGACTCTCATGCAATTAATGTTCTAAGATACATCGAAATATATAGAGATAAATATTTAAACCTAATTTTCTAAATAAAAATAAAGATAAATGTGAAATCTAGTTTAGAGATAAATATAAATATTCTTAAACTAAGATGTGATAATCTTCTAGATCATTATCGATCTTCATGATTTCCATATTATTGGGCAGTTTTTTCGACCGTTGATCTCAGTTAATCTCCGGTTCTCCCAATACCTCCGGCAAGCTCATACGTGGTAACAAATGTGAGATTGGACAAGTCTTCAGAATAACGGTTTATACCCGGCAGTCGAGTCATCAACGACGTTTATACCCGATCGTAGGGTCTTCAAGTAATAGGAAAACACTCACGATTGCAAGGTTTGGAAACACTCGCATGATTACGAGGTTCAGAAGTAGCTTGCAATGACAAGATAAAAAAAACTCACGAAAGCGAGAAGTTTAGTTAAAAAGAGATGTCAAACTCGTGAGAGCGAGAAAAACATCATTATCACCGAAACTAAACGAACCCATAGATTCATGTTCATGATCATGTGTCTTGTTCTTCAAGAAACTAGCAACTTTGCTAGAAAATTAACGTGGCGAATCAATGACCAGATCATCAAATGTAATCCTCTCTTCGAATACGTCCTTCTTCTTCTTCTTTTTTAATCGATCAAAGCCAGTAATCTCCAAATTAGAAGATAGCTTTGATGCAACAACATCAAATAGTCAATCACACGAGATCTACATTGTGTCTGCTCTTGTTAGATTTTTTTTTTGTTTTTTTTTTTCTTTTAGACTAACAACGATTAATGTTCCAAAATACATCGATATATATATATAGAAAGAGAGAGAGAGAGAGAGATTTCCCAAATTAAAGATAAATATAAATATTTATAACCTAAAAAATGATAATTTTCTAGATCCTTCTCGATCTTTATGATTTTCATATTCTTAGAGAATATCTCGAATGTTGATCTTTGTCAATATCCAGTTCTCCCAATACTTCGAAGCCCAACGCAAGCGGCTACGGAGTCTGCGTTAGCATTTTCTCCAAGAGAAATTGTGCTGTTATTGGCGGCTGCGTTTGTGAAAGAGTATAAAGTGAGGATTGGAGCGATTGTGGCAGACGTTAATTAACGTTGGGATTAGTGATGTTTAGGTGGTTATGGGTGGTTTTGGGGATAGCACCGGTAGTTAAGTCGTCAGTTCGGGTTTTGATTGGGGTACGGTTAGCTATGGCCGTTACGTTTGGTTTTACAAAACTCGTTGGGTTCACGGTCTGTGATACGTAACGTACGTAAGAGTTTACTTACGTGACCAAACTCTTCTTCATGCTTCAAGTCAATAAATTGGAGAAAAGTAATGTAGTTTGAATTTCTATTTAGTATAAATATAACTTATTGAATATCATGAATCCATCAAAGACATTTATATTCTTAAAATCTAGGCCAACAAAATACGGTGTTAAATTCAAAAATTTATTATTTATCTGAGATTGTATATCTTAAATTCTTTATCACAAGAATTTAAACCTACGTAATATGTTTTTGGTTTCTACATAACTCAACCTCTAAATAAAAGTAAGGTCACAATCGACGAGACTTTCGATTTTGTACAACTATTCAAATCACCTATCTCAAACAAAATTTGAATAAAGTAGAGCTGTTTTCTGGTGTCACACTACAAAGTTTTTTGTATGTCTCTTTTTGGCACACTAATGTTGTAACAACACCAATAAATTTTTATGTATACAGTTTAAAAACTTTAAACTTTTCAAGATAATGAATAGTCATGGTTAAATACTTAAATCAAGTAGGGTTTCCTTTTAAGATACAAACATTAATTAGATTTTAACCATAAATGTGATTACAGATATGGATAGTTTTCATACCGTTAGTTGTGCCTTGTTCGGTGAAGTCGTCGACGGTGCACGACATCAGTTTATTCTTGGCGGGGTCTCCTTTAATGAAACTGTTATAAACAAGCTTTGTGTTTGGATTTTGGTTTATATGCCTAGAAATCTTTTGAATTCCTTAAACGCCTTATGACTTTATTGAGTAGCGTGTCTTGTGCCGGCGATAGTACTCGAGGCTATGGATTCTTCTTCAACGTCATCATATCTTTCGACAATGACCACTATTCCACTTCCCGGATTGTCCGTGGCTGTGTCTCTGATCTACCATCTTCTCGCATGTGGCATTGTGTCTTACAACCCTTGTCTCCGAGCTATTATGGATCTATCATCGGAATATTTTTATTCTCCTTTTATCGCTTTTAACCTTGTTGTATAAAACATTGAAAATGTTTTTCTCCCAAACTTTGTATTACATTTAAGTGATTGAATGAAAACAAACTTTTGCATTAAAAAAAGAGAAAGATATGGATAGTTTTCAAAATTAATAATAAAATCTCTATATTTGTTAAGATTTTAGTAGTGTAACTTTTGTCTTTGAATGACGAAATAATCCCAACCCAGTTTCAAAAGCTTTTCAATTTCGGAAAATAACCATCGGAAATCCCGGTACTACAAAATCCATTGTAACATAACATCACCGTTCATTTTTATTATTATTATCTTTTAGTAGATCCGATTGGTAACACAAAGTTGTATAAATTTTTTAGCTGTAAGCTTTTTCGGAATAGTGCAAAACTGTAAGAAAGAACTGTACAAAAAAGCTGTACAAAAAAACTGAGAGTAAAATTTTTAGTATTGCTTTTGTGATTGGAAACTGTCAAAACTGTACATCCTGTACCGTTTTGATAATGAATTACCATTCAAACCCAGTGTTTTTGAATCTGCATACATTTAATACTCCTACTATTTAATCAATTTTTATTTTAACTATTTATACATTGACCATTAATTTTTTTTGCGTTTGTTGGAGTCAAAGACGGTGAAGAGACAATGTCGTGAGATTGTGTCAAATATTTTCACATGATATTTAGTCTCTCTATCCTCCGTCTTCTGCTTTCACTGTTTCTTATTTTACTTTTTTTCTATGCAAACATATAAATGTTGCTTTAATCTATAATGGTTATTAATTCATTTCGAATATTCTCAATCTTATAATCTTTTTTTTTTTTTAATTTGTCTTTAGATGTTTCAGATTGTTTTTCGGTATTTCATCATCATCATCATCACACATTTGAATCTTTGAAGAGGGACATTGTAATGAACATGGGGCAGCTCAAGGAAGAGGAAGCTTGGAGCGCAAGATACAATGGATTTTTTTTTTCTGTTGAGTTTTTTGAAACTCCAACTTTAAATTTTCGATTTTGGTTGTGTATAAAATTGGGACTACTGTTTTAAATTTAATTTTTTGTTTCATTTGCATTGTTACTTTAAAAGTAATAAAATATGTTTTAAGAAGTTTTACATGAAAATCAAGTAATTACCTTTTAATAACCTTCCCCTTAGTAAGTTATTACATTAAAATGCCATTAGAGATAAAAATATAAAGAGTAAATTAATTTAGCTCATTAAGGATAAACAAGTCAAATACTAATTTATGAAATTTAATTAATTTAATTATTAAAAACGAAAATATATTATTAACTTAAAAAAAAAAGAATGACCAGTCAAAATGAACATATAAGATTTGATATCTAACTTACCATATTAATTTGTTATTAATCATTATACTTCACCTCTCATCTTTATATGATTCTATTTTTATGAAACAAATAAATCATCATATCATCCATATAACAAAAAAACTAAATTTTTCTGCATATGCGAAGATTTGAATTTTTAAAAACGAATATAAATTGTTAAATCTATGAAGAAAAAAATTTAACGGGTCAAAAATTCACATCTGAGTAATATATTTCTTTTAACCAAAAATAAGTTCAACAAAAATTTCGACTGAGTAACGGGTCAGAATTTGAATATTTATATTCAATTTCATATATTTATTTTTTGAAATATATTATTTTATATACTACAATAAGATTTTTAAATATTTTAATTTGCAACATATAAAATTAGTTTTACTTGATATTTTTCAAGAATATCATCAATATTTAAAGAATATCATCAATAAATACTCTAATTTGATTTTTTTTTTAAAAATATTTATAATAGGCAGTGGGTTAAATATAATATATTATATTAACAAATGAGTTATGATCCTTATAACTATTTGAATATTTCTATTTAATTTCATATAATTCTTTTTTTGAAATTCATAATTTTATATACTACAAGAAATATTTTTAAAGATTTTAATTTGGAACATTTAAAAATAGTTTAATTTAATATTTTAATGAATATCATAAATATTTAATAGATTAAAAAGATAAAAAAAATTTATAAATACTTTAGTTTGATTTTCTAAAAAGATAGATTTAAAATAGTTATAGTAGGTGGAGGGTTAAATGTAATATATTATAAGATATAAAATTATTATCCCTATAATAGACGGCATGTTAAGATTATATGATCATATAGATTAAATAAGGTTGTCACCACAAAATATTTGAAAATATGATTGTGCAAGCAATTTTGGAAATAACGAATAATTGATTGTGCACGCAATATTTTCATTAGTATTCTAAAATAAAAATATAGACTCCATGCACAGGTTAAATTTGATACATTATATACTAAATATATGTTCATAACATATTCGATTACGCGAATAATTGGTAAATTTCGTAGTTACCTCAAAGGCTCAAACAAATCTCTATTTCAACAACCAAAAAATTAGAAATTGAAAAAAGAATTTTCTAAATTAATTCCAAAAAATAGCTAACTTTCTTAATTAATTAAAAATAATCTATCTTTTAGAAGCGATTCATTTATAATATTTTGATTTTTGATCTAACTAAATTATATGCATTCTCATTTTGTGGTTGTTAATATAAATTAACTCATTGTTCAGACCATATTAATTTATTAAAATAATTTTATTTTCCGTTTTCATATCTTAAAAAAATTTATCCATAATGGAGTATAATTAAAAAATAAAATATATTCATTCTGATATTATATATAGGGACTGACAAAAATCTAATTATATTTCTAAATTACTATTATGATATATCATAACTTTATTCTAAAATATATAATATATAAATTTTGTAATAAATACAATTTAATCCGTACTGTAGTACGGATGATGATCTAGTTGTTTTTATGATTTTATCGGACGACATTAGATGTCTACGCCTCCTTTAAACATTTTTTGAAATTAGATGTCTACGCCTCCTTTAAACCTTTTTTTAAAATTAGATGTCTATGCCTCCTTCAAACTTTTTTTCTTTCACTATTGTGTATTTAATCAATTTTGAAAATATAAACTCTAACAAAAAAAGAAGTCATTCAAACAATCTCTAGACCTTTAATAATAAATCTAAAAAACGAAGCAAAATCTTACCAAATAAGTTTTAACTTCCAGATTTTGAAAATACGATTATTTTAATATCCATTGTGAACTCAATAACTATTTTTATAGAAATTTTAATTTAGGAAACTACTTTCATAAATAAATAAAAATTAAAATTTTTTTTTAATTAGTTAAGAATTAAATTTGATTCAAAACATTCTCTGGTTAATATATTCACATACTGTTTATTTATAAGATTTTATTAAGATTTATTCCCTCATCTTTGTTTAGTCCTTTTCTTTTTTGGTAGATATATATTTGAATCATTAAATAATCAATGTAATAATTGAAAATCTAGAATTATTTACGATCCTAGATTTTTATTTACGCTCTCTGAATCAGAATTTGAATCGCCAAATGTTTTAAAATTTTGCAACGGGTCAGGGTGGATCAAGGATCGGGTTATTGGACTAAATTAGTTTAATTTTGCAAAGGATCAGGATGGGTCACACACAACGTTTTTTACCACCGAATTACTTTTTAATACCTAACGTTACAGAAATATGATTCCGAATACTATCCAGCTATGTAGTGTTCAGCAACTTTTTAAAAAATTATGTCAGATTAATATGTTTTTTTTTTTTTTTTAATAACCGCGGATCTCCCAAAAGCTTCCTAGGCCCAAGAACTAATCCCACGAGGCTGGCAATTCCCCTATATAAACCTGCCAGTGGCCGTGCCTCGAACCCTGGTGGCGGAAGTCACAGCTGTGACCCTTTTACCACTAGGCCACAAGGCCCGGTTCAGATTAATATATTTACAAGCCTACAAACCACGAGCCTGTCCCAAGTAGTACTACGGCGGAGCGGGTATATACACAAAAGTATTAGACTGTTGAAAGGCAAGCTTCGCGCCTCGCGGGCAAGTCTAGGCAGATTATTGGTTTTAGCGGGTTATGTCTATGGATTGGCCGGTCGGCACTTGGGATACAAATATTGCATATTCTTACATATAAGAGATCCGGTAACCTCAAGGTTATTGGATATTGAGATTCTGACTGTGTCGTATACGTCGATATCAGGAAATCGACGTTTAGCTATTTGTTTCTATTAGCTAGGAGAGAAATGTGTTGGAAAATTGGGAAGCAGTGTATCATCGCTACTTCCACTATGGAGGTCGAATTTGTGGCATGATTTGAGGCCACAATTCACGCAATGTGGTTGCGGAACTTTATCTTAGGGTTTCAGATTGTCAACACTATAGAGAAACTGCTGAGAAATTATTTTGATAATTCCATAGTTGTCTTCTTTTTAAAAAAAATGACAATTTTTTGAAGGGTGCTAAGCACATGGAGTTAGAGTACTTGTCTATTAAAGAAGAAGTGCAAAAACATAGTGTTATATGAGCATATTAGGACAGATATGATGGTATCCGTTAACTAAAGGTCTACCTCCCAAGGCGTTTATTGGCCATGTAGAGCGTACGTGGATTATAAAAAAAAGCCTATAGTAGGCTCATTATGTTTGCGACACTAGTAATTTACTTAAGGTTATGCTTTTGTTTTATTGGACCTGTTATTTGTACACGTGTATGGTTCATCGATAACATGGTTATTTTGAGGATTACTGTTTTTCTCAATATTAAAGAACACCATAGAGTTGGAATTGGTTTGTGTCACCCAACAGAGATATGTCACTCAGTTTCAAGACGTTCTCACATTGATCTCGGGTACATGTTTCAGCCAAACACACCAACTTATCTTGAGGTATGTGTTTCAATCTACGATATATCTGTTATGGAGGGAAAGAAACCGCAGAAGACATAGGGAACAGTCTCTGTCCGCAGCAAACTTACTAAAACAAATAGACATCATGGCTCAAAATCGATTTTCGACTTTATCAAAACAGAGCACTGGAAGCTTGGAGGGAATTCTGCGTGAATGGTTTGCTGTAAGGGATCTTTAGGCTTTTCAAGAATTTTCAGTCTTAACTTCAAACTATTTTCAAACTTTTAGA